CTTAGACTTAGAGCACTAGGTAAGTATACAATTTTACCTGTGTGTTCCCCAAAATTCTAGTTTAGCACTTCTTAGTTGGGATTCAGGAATCTGTATTTTAACAACTCCCCCAGGTGATTCTCCTCATGAGAGAAGTTTGGGAAACACTGAGCTATAGGGTGCAAGTGTGGGGTGCCGGTGTGGGTGCAGCTGTGGGGGCCCAGCTGTGGGGGCCCAGCTGTGGAGGCCCAGCTGTGGGGGCCCAGCTGTGGGGGCCCAGCTGTGGGGTGCAGCTGTGGGTGCAGCTGCGGCGAGGGAAGGCCCAGCGGGGAGAGGGGGGAACCTGCGAGACCGTGGCTGTGTCCAGAGCACTTGGAGGCGAGGGGCTGGGTGGGGGACGAGGGGCTTGATGGCTTGGCCTGCAGACCCAGCCCGCTCCAGAGCCGTCTCTGCAGCCGGTGGGAGGGCCCACGCATCAGGAGGGCGTGCACGTAACTGCAAAGGTGCTTCCTGAGGGAGAGGGCCCGGTGGCGGCCTGCGTCCCTGGAGCAGAAGCAGGAGGAGGGGTGTCCTGGAGGGGTGCCCGGGCTGGGGCAGGACGGGGAGCAGCCCTCAGGCACCCCCTCCCCCTGGCTCACACAGCAGGGCCTGGGGGCTGGGGCTCTGGATGGGGCTCCCCATGGCTTAGGACAGAGAGGAGGACTTCAGGCCCGGGAGCTCCGGGCGCCCAGGGTCAGCGTGGCAGAGGGGGTCCCGCTGCTGAGGCTCCCCGGTCCAGGCGGAGCTCAGGGAGGCGGGGCTCCCCCAGCCCGGGCAGCCCGTCCCGGAGCGGGCGCCTTGCTGCGGAGCTGGTGCCTCTGGGTGCCCAGGAGAGGCCCCCTGCCCCTGTGGACAGCATCCGCGGTGGCTCCGGCCCTGGCAGCAGCAGTGTGCGCCCCTCCGCGCCCCGACCTGCGGGCCTCAGCCGCGCCGGCACCGGCCTGGCCTGGGCAGTGCCGGGAGCGCCCGCGTCTCACCCCGGAGCCAGCAGGGGCCCGCCCCGGCCCTCGGGGCAAAGGCTGCCCTGGCCTCCGGTGGCACTGCCAGCCGCGAGCACCCAGGCCAGGAGTCCGGCTCCTCCCTCCCTCCGGCCCGGCCTCCCTCAGGCTCTCCCCGGCCTGCCCTCCACTTGGCCCAGGGTCACCCTCCTTCCGGCCGCCCCCGGGCTCCCCAACACCCAGCCCCTCCGGGTCCAGACCCCTGTGTGGGGTCAGCCAGCCCAGTCCCAGGCCCAGGCAGAATGAGGAATGGGGTGTCTCCGGGTGTCCTCAAACCACCCGGGAGCTGGGGTCCCCCCTCTCCCCCCCGAGAGGGCACCCCCCCTCTGAGGATCCGGTGTCCCCAACTCAGCAGGACTTGTATTTATAGCTCTGGCCGGCGGGGATGGGGGTGGGGTGGGGGTGGCGGGAAGGCGGGGTCCCTGGGGAAGAGGGGTCCCGCGCAGGGAGGGGGGCTGTGTGAGCGGTGGGGCGGCGCTGGGGAGGTGCCCGGCGGCGGAGCCTGGGTCGTGGGGGGCCGTGGGGGGCCCCGGGGAGGGGGCCCGCGCACCTGGCAGCGGCTGACGATGTCGGCGTCCGTGGCCAGCAGGTCCACCACCTTGCCCTTGCCCTCGTCCCCCCACTGCGCGCCCAGCACCACCGTCACGCGGGCCCCCGCCGCCTCCTGCTGCTGCCGCGCGCGCTTCAGGCCGCCGGCGCCCGGGGGCCGGTCGTTGGAGGCGCGGGCCGCGGCCATGCCGCTGGCTGGCGGGCGTGCGGCCGGCTGGCAGGAGCGCCGCCCGGGCCGCCGCCCCCGTTAAGAGGCGCCGCCCGGCGGGGCGGGCCGTGACGCCCGTGACGCCTGACCTCCGGCCGCCCCGCCCCGCCCCGCCCCGCCGCCCCGGAGGCGGGTGGCGCGGGCCTCGGGGCGCACGGACGGCGGACGGACGGCGCGCACGCGGGGAGCGCGCGGCGGGGTCCCCCCCGCGGCCGGCCGGGCGCCCGGAACGTCACCATGGCGTCCGCCCCCCTCCCCCCCGTCCCGTCCCGGCCGCGGCCAGGCCTGGGCGCTGCGAACCCGCCCCGGAGCCGGACCTGGGGGCCCAGACACGGCGGGGTCCCCTCCCGCGCGGGTGCGGCTGCCCGAGGGGAGCCTGGTCCCCGCGCCCCGCCCGGCGGGCCGCCTCCGGGGCGGAGGGGGCGGGGGGGGGGCGCACCTGCCGGCGAGTCCGGCCCCGGCCTGGCGCGCGCCCTCTGGTGGCCGCGGGGAGGACAGCGTCTCCTCCGTGCGGGGCCAGGCGTTCAGCGCAGGACACACTGCGGGGCCCGGCCTCCCGGGCGGTGTCACACCGGTGCCGCGGGGCCACCTGGCGGGGCGGGGGCCTGGGAGGCGGGGGCTGGGGGCAGCCAGGATGCGCAGGGCCAGGGACTCCGGGAGGCCCCACCCTGACCTCTGTCCCTCCGGCCTGTGGAGGGACTGGGTGCCCGGACAGGCTCAGCAGCTGAGTTTCGAGCTGGGTGCACTGCCTGGGCCACCCTCAACCCCCCTCCACTCTTCAACCCCCCTCCCCCCACTCCCCAAGGGACTCTTGAAAATGTGTTTTTACTGGTGTTGATTTCAGAGAGGAAGGGAGAGGGAGAGAGAAACATCAGTGATGAGAGAATCATCGACGGGCTGCCTCCTGCACAGCACACATTGGGGACCGAGCCCACGACCATGGGGGAAGCCGGCACGTGCCCTGACCGGGAATGGAACCGTGAACTCCTGGTTCATAGGTCGTCACAACCACTGAGCCACACTGGCCAAGGCCCTATATGGACTCCTGCTTGGGTATGGAGGAGGGGCCAGCTGTGGGCCCCTGGAGACACCCTGAGCCCCTCTTCCCTCCCTGGGCTCTGTCTCTGCAGAAGGGCCCGAGCCTGTCCACTCACCCTGACTGGGGCCCGGAGAGCCGAGGGCTGGGGGCTCCCGGAGCCCCAAGACTGGATGGGGTCGGCACTCCCAGGGAGGAGGGCGAGACCGGACTGGTCACACAGGGTCACCCATGGGCGTAAGGTCAGCCCGCAGAGGTGCACTGCCCAGCACCTCTCGCTCCTGCTGTCCTCCGGGTGGGAGCGGGCTGACCTGGCTGGTGACTCGGCCCCTCGGGGCCCAGCCCTCTGCTCGCACGGAGACACAATGGTTCCCGCCCCTCAGCACGTCGGGGTCAACACCCCATGAGGGGGTCAGGCTTCCTGTCCACAGCTTCCTAACGATGGTGGGGGTGGAGGTCCCGGGACCCCCCTGGGGGCAGAGGGCCAGGCAGAGGGAGTGCCACCAAAGGCGGGCGGGTGAGGGGGTCCCGGGAGGGGGGGGGCTGTGCCGGGGCTCGGGGACCCAGGGGGCAGGGATTTGGGGCGCTATAGCTGGCTGTGTGGCCGGGGAAGGGGCGGGTGAGGCAGAGGGACCAGAGGCCCCGGAGGCTCCTGTTTGCGTTTCCAGAGGGAGGAGCTGGGCTCTGCATGCCCACCGGGCGCAGAGGGCCTGCTGAGGTGGCGGCACTGAGGGTGCTTCCCTCTGCCCACTCCTGGGGGGTGGCCCTGGCTCTGGGCCCTCCCGAGGAAGGCCCATGCGGACCACAGGACGCCGGGGCTGGACGGGCAGCAGGGCCCAGGCGGTGGCAGCCGGCCGAGCGCGGCTATAAATAGCGGCCGGAGCCTGGCCGCCTATAAACAGCCCTGGCCGGCAGCTGGCGGTCACACGGCAGCCGGAATTAGACCCCTCCCCCCGCCTTTCCCCGTCACCACCCCCGTCCGCCCTGCGCAGGGGGCACGCGCAACTGGTCACCCAGGAGGCCCGTGACTGTGCCTGGGCAGTGTGACCCCCACCTGGCCGTGTGACCCCCCACCTGGCCACGTGACCCCTCACCTGGCCACGTGACCCCCTACCTGGCCATGTGACCCCCCCCACCTGGCCATGTGACCCCCACCTGGCCGTGTGACCCCTCACTTGGCCACGTGACCCCTACCTGGCCATGTGACCCCTCACTTGGCCACGTGACACCCTACCTGGCCGTGTGACCCCCCCACCTGGCCATGTGACCCCCACCTGGCCGTGTGATCCCCACCTGGCCGTGACCCCCACCTGGCCGTGTGACCCCCACCTGGCCGTGTGATCCCCACCTGGCCGTGTGACCCCCACCTGGCCGTGTGACCCCCATCTGGCCGTGTGACCCCCATCTGGCCGTGTGACCCCCACCTGGCTGTGTGACCCCCCCACCTGGCCGTGTGACCCCCCACCTGGCCGTGTGACCCCCCCCTGGCCGTGTGATCCCCACCTGGCTGTGTGACCCCCCCACCTGGCCATGTGACCCCCACCTGGCCGTGTGACCCCCACCTGGCCGTGTGATCCCCACCTGGCCGTGTGACCCCCACCTGGCCGTGACCCCCACCTGGCCACGTGACACCCTACCTGGCCGTGACCCCCACCTGGCCGTGTGACCCCCACCTGGCCGTGTGATCCCCACCTGGCCGTGTGATCCCCACCTGGCTGTGTGACCCCCCCACCTGGCCGTGTGACCCTAGCTGCAATCAGGGAGCCGGTGGCCCGGCCACGGGGGCCACAGCTCACGGGGGGGCACTGCACCCGGCGACCAGGAGGCCCGCCCGCCTCCCCGGAGCTGGGAAGTGTGCGGGGGAATGAGGAGTGCAGCCACTCTGGAAGCCCGTTTGGCAGTTTCCTAAAAAGTTAAATGCAGTCCTGGCCGGTGTGGCTCAGTGGGTGGGGCGCCGCCTGCAGATTCCCCATCAGGGCCCAGGCCCAGGTTGTGGGTTCGATCCCCAGTGCGGGGCGTGCAGGATGCAGCCCATCAATGATTCTCTCATCATTGATGTTTATCTCCCTCTCCTTCCCCCTTCTCTCATATAAATAAATAATTAATTAAACGCAAATGTGGCCTCTGACCCCCGGCTTGAATCCTCGAGAACTGACCACAGGTGCACCTCCCGCCCGCAGGCCTAGACACCCGGGGTGGGGGACCCTCCTCGGGCCTCCTCCCCTCTGCTGAGCAAGGGGACCTATCCTGCCCCGGGCAGTGCCCTCCGGCTGCTCCTCCCAGGCCCCAGAAGCCCGCCCCCCAACCCCAGGCACCACGAAGGAAGAAATGCGCCCACAGTCGCTCGCGTTTTGTTAAAATCACTCTGTTCCAGCTGAGCACGCAGCTGGCGAGCTCCAGCCCCCCGGCTCCCGTGGTTCGGGGTCTGTAACGGGCGTCTCCAGAGGAATCTGGGTGCCAGGCCACTGGAAAGTAGGTGCCAGCTGAGCGCCAGCACCCTCCCCGGTGGGTGCCAGGTGCATGCGGGGGTGGCACTAGCCTTAGAGCTGGACCACACGGACCAGGTGCGTGGGCAGTCCAGGTGCCAGGCAGGCAGTCCAGGTGCCAGGCGGGCAGTCCAGGTGCCAGGCGGGCAGTCCAGGGGTGCGGGATGGGCAGTCCAGGTGCCAGGCGGGCAGTCCAGGGGTGCGGGATGGGCATTCCAGGTGCCAGGCGGGCAGTCCAGGGGTGCGGGATGGGCATTCCAGGTGCCAGGCGGGCAGTCCAGGTGCCAGGCGGGCAGTCCAGGGGTGCGGGATGGGCAGTCCAGGTGCCAGGCGGGCAGTCGTGCCAGGCGGCCCGGGCCCCTGAGGCTTTGGGGCCCCCGCCCTGGCTGGGTAAGGCACGGGCTCCGTGGCTCAGGCCCCGCCCCAGCGGCTCCGTGGTGCCTCTCTTCCGGCCCGGCTCCCGGCTCAGCAGCTTGTCCAGGCTCTGCTGCATGGAGGTGGCCCAGGCCGTCACTTGGCTCTGGGCTTGGGCCTGCGGCCTGTGGAGGGCGAGGATGGCGGTGAGGAGCAGCCTGGCTGGGCAGCGCCGGGTGCCTGCGGCTGGTCCTAGCCCCGGCTGCCCTGTCACCACTGCCCGGGGTCCCGGGTCCCGGGTCCGGCCCTTCCTGTTCGGGCTGCTCTCCCCTGAGGGGCGGGTCCGGGGTCCTGTTCTCCGGGCCTCAGCCCTCGCTGCCTCATCCATCGTCCCGGCCACCTCCTCCCGGGCCCCCGCAGGCCCGGCCAGAAGCCCCTGCCCTTCTCCTCCTCTGGGGCCTTAGGCCTGGGCCCTGCCCCCTGCCCCCCCGTCAATGCCGTGGCACGCTCTGCTCCAGGGACACGGCCTGTGCTTGGGAGACACACAGGGGCAGCTTAGTGCTGAGGTCACTCAGTAAAGTAGGGGCAGGAACACTTTGCTATATTTTGCAGGTTGGGGCCGTTCCGGGGTGAAAGGCAGGTGTGTGTGTGTGTGTGTGTGTGTGTGTTCATTTAACCTCTCACACACTTCATGTCAGGGTGAAGTCTGTCCAAAGAATAAGTGGCATTCTGGCTGGATGGCTCAGTGGTTCTCGGGCTTGATCCCTGGTGTGAGGCGTCTCTCTCATCACGAATGTTTCCATTGCTCTCTTCCTCTCCCTTCCTCCCTGACATCAATAAAGATACGTATGTGTGTGTGTGTGTGTGTGTGTGTGTGTGTGTGTTTTAAGTGCATTCCTGCCCTGGCCGGTGTGGCTCAGTGGATAGAGCGTCAGCCTGGGGACTGAAGGGTCCCAGGTTTGATTCTGGTCAGGGGCGCACGCCCAGGTTGTGGGCTCGATCCCCAGGAGGGGGCATGCAGGAGGCAGCCAATCAGTGGTTCTCTCTCATCAGTGATGTTTCTGTCTCTCTCCCTCTCCCTTCCTCTCTGACATCAATAAAGATATGTTTTTGGCTTTTGTAAAGTGGGGTTCCTTCCTCCTGCCCTCAGCCCCCCCGGGGGGGGAAGTGGGGAGACACAGCTAACCTTTGCACCCACAGCGGGGCCACAAGGCCACTCCCTGGCCCCTAAGGGACAGGCCGAGCCGCTGTAAAGGGCAGGAGGGCGGGTGGCCGGGAGCCGAGTCGGGCAGAGGTGCCCTCACTCCCGTTCCCGCTCCCTGGTGCCCGCAGGGCCTCACCTCTGCGCCCCCGGCCCCTTCACTGGAGGCCGGTGGGGAGCAGACGGCCCTGAGCTCAGGCCGGGGGGGCTCCCTGCACTGGGTCCCCCCGGCCAGGCCGTCCTGTGGCCGCGTGTGGGAGCCTCTCGGGCCTGGCAAAGCCCTGCCTGTCCGGGGGGGAGGGAGGGGGGTCTGGGGAGGCCCCTGCTCCCAGCAGACAGCCGGCCTCCAGGGAGGGGTGAGGTCAGCCTGTGCGTCCCGCACTGCCCTCCCGCCGACAGGATGGCCAGCCCAGGGCCAAGGAGGGCGGGGTGCCTGCGGACGGGCCCAGAGAGAAGGTGTCGCCCTGGGGGACACGGGGGCGGGGGTCAGTCAAGCCCAGGATTGGGCGGGTCAGGCACAGGGCAACCTCAGCCTGTTCGCCAGGCCCAGGAGCCTGGCTCCCACAGGCACCCAGGAGGCCCGTCCACCCGCCCTCCGAGGCTGGTGCCCCGCGGGCAGCTCTGAGGCCGCACCGGCCAGGCACAGGGACACCAGCCAGCGGCACGGCCGCGCTGCCCTGCCCCGCCCTCCCGGGCGGCGGGTGAGCGCCCTCAAGCGGCCCAGGCGGGGGCGGGAGGGAGCTGCCAGGGGCGAAGCGGGTTGGGGTTGGTTAGTGCCTGGGCGGCCGGGCGGGCCGTCCTCGCCTCCACCACTGCCACCAGCGTTAGTGCAGGCAGCGTGGACCTACCTTACTGGATCACACAGAACCTTTTGGACTTATTATCATCAGGGTCAGGGGCGACCTCTGCTTCCGAATAAGAGAGACACACTCAGCGCCCGCCCCACCCCCGGGCGCCCCGCCCGGAGCGGCTGCGTGGGGCTGAGCTGCGGCGTGGCTGCGCCCGCCCCGCCGGACAGCCTCCCAGGCGGGCGGTGTGGCAGGCTCAGTGGTGAGGGTGCAGCGAGCAGGCGGTGCCCCAATCCTGCCCCTCCCGGGGCGGAAGCACCGCTGACCCCTCACCTGCAGGGCGCGGGGGCCTGGGGATCCCCCGTCTCGGGGGCAGGGGGGCCTCCGGCTGCAGGGAGAGGCCGGGCCGGGCATGAAGGGGCCGGCGGACCCCACGCCGAAGCCGGGGCCCTGAGGACCCGCCCGCCCGGTCCCGCCCGGTCCCGCCCGGGGACGCCCCGGAGGCCCCTCACCTTCCTGAGTCCGCGTCGGGCGCTTCTTCCTGCGCCTGCCCGTCCCCCTCGAGGCCCGGCCCGGGGCCCTGGGGAGGGTGCCGGAGCCCGAGGAGCCGGCCGCCGAGTCCTCGGAGAAGGACCTGTCCAGGGAGGTGTCCAGCACGGAGTCCGCGGAGCCCTCCTGGTCCCCGTCCCCGTCGGGCGCCGTGGCCGGGGGGCCGTCTCCTCCGTGGCCGAGGGCGGCCGTGGCCGCCGGCCCCTCTCCCGCGCTGTCGGCTTCGGCCCGGCTGACGCCCCCGCCGGAGCCCGGGGCCCCGGGCGGCCTGTCGCCGGAGAAGGGGAGGGGCTCCAGGGCCCGCGCGCCCCCCAGCACCACGGGCCAGGCCGCGTCCTCCGTGGGCAGGACATCGCTGGCGTCCTCGTACCAGGAGGACCGCCTCTCCGGGGCCCCGGGGCCGGCCTCCGCCGCCGGGCCTGCGGGGGGCGGCGGGCTGGGCACCGTGGCGTCCGCGAGGTCCCAGTCCTGGGGCGGCCTGGCTGCCACCACGCCGTCGAGCGCAGGTTCAGAGGCCGAGCCGCTGGGGCCGCCCCTGGGGCCTCCGGGGGGGCTGCTGGAGGCCGCTGCGGACGAGCACGTGTAGGTGGAGGGCAGGGCGCGCCCCCTCCCTCCCCCCGTCCCGGGGCACCCTCCTTGGGAACAGTCTAGGGGGGGACCCTCCAGCTCAGCTTCGCTGGTGGCTCCACGCCTGGGCCCCACAGGGCAGGCCGGGCCCCGCGTCCTCGGCCTGTCCACAGGGCATCTGCCCATGGGCCTGGGCCCGTCTCTCCTGCCCGGCCCAGGGCTGGACAGGCGGCCTCTAGCCCCACCTCCCGCCGGCCCCTTCTCAGGGCGGCCAGGGGAGAGGAGGGCTCCCCGGAGGAAGGGAGAGCCGGAAGCCAGGTCCAGCACGTCATCATTACAAGAGTTTCATCAACAGGCGGATGGAACTTGGGGGCTCAACAAGGGCTGAGCCACATATGTGATCGCCTGTGGGAGTGGCTAAAAGGCACTTCCCCCAAACCTGAATAGGATGAGTGTTTGCTGCCATCTACGTGTTATTGCCTCCTACTGGCCAAACACCTGAACAGCTGGAGGCAATGCCCCAACCTGGCAATGCTTCTGTACCTGACCCTCTGAAGGGTTTATATCCCCCTTGCCTTGGGACAAACTGTGTTAATAAAAAGCAAGGGTCCTGAGACAAGGAGAGAGTCGTTAGCTCCTGCAGCTGACGCTCCTCGGACCCCCCAGCGCCTTTCAAAACTATCGTTCGTCTCTGGAATCCCACTTCATCCTCACACGGCCTTTCTCCAGAACGCTGAGCCCTCTGAGGCTGGGACAGGAGCCCCGGCGGGGAGGTGTGGGCTGAGGGTGGCACAGGCAGGGGAGGCGGGCGGGAAGCAGGAGAGGGCGTGAGGCTCACCAGGCGGGGGGTCCCTCGGGGGGCCTGAGGCGGCCGCCCGGCCGCCCCCGTCGCCGTCGCCGCGGCCGCGCGCCGTCTTCCGCAGCTGGAAGCCCTTCCTGATGTCAGCCAGCAGCGCGTCGATGACACACACCTCCTCCTCCTGCTTCCTGCCTGCCTTCCTGACTGGGAGCCCAGGACCCTCAGGCACGCTCCGGGCGGAGAGGAGGGGGTCCCCGCCCCGCCCCGCCCCGCCCGCCCGCCCGCCTCACCAGGCTTCCCGTCCTCGCCCCGCGGCCTCCGCGCCTCCTCCTCCGCCAGCTGCCGCTTCCTCCTCTCCGCCTTGGCTGCCTGCTCCTGCCGGTCCTTGTTCTCCTGCGGGCGGCACAGACTGTGACCCCCGGCCCCCCGCCGCCCACAGGCCCCCGAGGCGCAGGCCCACCTTCAGGGCGCGCAGGAAGAGGTCTCGGAAGGCCTTCATGGTGCCGAAGGTGTCCTCCAGGCTCAGCTGCTGCGCGTCCTCGCACAGGTACGTGGCCAGCGCCAGCTTCTTCTGCTCCACCGCCTCGAACACCCGCTCCAGCGCCCGGGAGGCCTCGATGCTGTCCTGGGGCCCGGGCACCGCGGTCAGGGCGGGAGGCCCCCAGCGGGTGGCCCGCGGGCACAGGGCAGCCGGGGCCCGGGGCTGCGGGAGGGCGAGGGCCGGGCCTGCACACAGCTTCCCTGGGCAGGACCGGGTCTGGGTGCTGGGCCTGGGACTCGGGGGGCTCCTCTCAGGATCCCCTCTGGGACCAGGACCTGCTGCAGGGTACCCTCTCTCTCCTCCCCGCTCTCCTGCCCCCCAGCCTCTCCTCCCCCTTCTCCTGCCCCCCAGCCTCTCCTCCCCCCTCACCTGTCCCCCAGCCTCTCCTCCCCCCTCTCCTGCCCCCAGCCTCTCCTCCTCCCTCTCCTGCCCCCCAGCCTCTCCTCCCCCCTCACCTGTCCCCCAGCCTCTCCTCCCCCCTCTCCTGCCCCCCAGCCTGTCCTCCCCCCTCTCCTGCCCCCCAGCCTCTCCTCTCC